AGCCTTCTGTGCTGGCATTGTCTATCATTGCTTTGGAGATCCAAGCACTAAAGTATGTAGAGTTAACAGAAGGAATCGAATGTATTCAGAAACATTCCAAGGTATGTCAAGGTTGTAGCATCAAGCCACTGTACTCTTAAAGCAAAGTAAGATGCCATGTATTGATGGGAAGCTTAAGTGGTCCTCCCCTGGTTCTCTTTGGATGAGAAAACATGTTAATGGGTTTACATCTATTACTATAAATACAGTGGGACTCTTAATAATTCTTTTTATTTATGTACAGATAAATGGCCGAGATTTGACCTTTTGGCAAGAGCTTGTATCCAAGTGTTTAACTGAGTATTCATCAAACAAGTGTTCCAAGCCAAACGTTCAGAAGTTGAAGTGGATCGTGTCTGGACGCACTGCCCGGCAACTGTGGCACAGTTACTACAGAATAACTCACCTCCCAACAATCCCGGAAACAGCTTCTTAGCTGGCAAATCTGGTTGTTATCCTCTCTATACAGAAAATTTTCCAGTGTGATAATTTTCTTCTACAACTGAAGAACTGAAATACTATCTTCAATATAAACAATATGGGATTAAAATAGTAAAGGGAAAAATGACTGTTGATCTAGTTAGTGAATATTGGAAGGCATTTACCATGTACAATGCACAGCAGTCTCAAGAGAAAGGACTTAGCAAACCTCTATATGTTAACACTTCCGTCAAATTATTAGCTTAGGAAAGAGAATCCTCCAAACCTGAATTTATAAAAGTAGTTAATGAAATAATATTTTTTAAATTACATATCACCTCACTGTAACTTATTTAAAGTTACTTAAACCCAAGCAGAAGGATGAAACAAAAAGTTTGACCCACATATGAACAAATTCAAGTCCTTTTGTTGATTAAGAAAACATAGTATGCACTTGGGTGATGTACTTACAAAGTGATATAGGGCAGAGAGTCTCCACATTAGGTTTCTGGAAATTGCTGAGGTGTCTCAATTCTATATTTAGTATTTTATCTCTAAGCAGTTGGTCCATTACAGGTAATTATATGCTTAAAAAATATAAACTTAGTCCCCGATACATATACATTTTTGCCATCTAAATTTCTTAATCATAGCAAAGATTTATCTTTTTTATGATTAAAGCTAAATGTTGCCAGGCGTTGTGGTGCACACCTTTAATCCCAGCACTCAGGAGGCAGGGGTAGGTGGAAGGTGGATCTCCGTGAGTTTGAGGCCAGCATGATCTACACAGTGAGTTCCAGGACAACTAGAGACCTATATAATAGAGAGACCCTGTCTCAAAAAACACCAAAAAAAGAAAAAAAAAAAGTAAATGTTGCTGGAAAGATGGTTCAGCAGGTAACGGTGCTTGCCCCCAAGCCTAACAACCTGACTTCATTCCCTAGGATCCACATGATGGAAGGAGAGAGCAAATTTCCATAAGTTCTTCTCTGACATATGCACATGCTCCCCCCTCCCCCTGCAATCGCAACACAATACATATATGATCATGCATTTTAGATAACATCAGTTCACCTTTAGTAGCTCCAAGTACGTAGGCAGATTTCTGTTCAATTGGGTTTGTTGTTTGCTTAGGCAGTAGGATTGCGGTAGCAGCAACAACAACAACAAAAACTTTTTCCTGAAGTCTATCTCTGCCACTCTGACCATGAGTATCCTATGGTACAGAATTTAAGCTATGAAACCTCAGCACATCAGCACGTTAGCAGAATGGTCTCAGTGTTGGGAAAACTGAATCCAGGTTTGGTAGAGCTATGCTTAGATTTGAATTCACCCATGAAACATTCAAATCAAGGCTAAAGATATAAATGTGAAGTAAAACTGTGAACCTTCATTTTAACATTGATCTAACTTCCTAGGTTGGATCAATATATACTTAGGTGGTATTGAAAATGGTAAACTACTTAATTTAAATCTCAAAATTTAAATTACGAGGTTTACATCAAAACCAACATTTCACAAATGCACTTTTAAGGTATTATAAAGGGTTAATTTAAGCAGTAAATGGTTTCTTGGCACCCATAACCAAGTAATAGCTAATTTAGAGGTGGGATTTTTATTGCTATATGAGAATTACATTTAAACTTGTGGGTGTTTTATATAAAGCAGATCTCACAAGTTTTGAAAATTTAATATTTCTTTTAGAGAATAGGTTGTTTGTATCCATGATAAAAGAATAATTCTAGAGAATTGCTGCTTCAATCTAGTCCCATTTGAAAAAAATTGTTTCTACTGTATTAATAACTGGATGAATGATCACTCTGAAAATGTATTTATTGCACTGAAATTAGTTCAGTCTTGATAAAGCACTCCAGAAGTTGTTGTTTTTTTTTAACCACAGACAGTTTTTATAAAACTGCCTCTGCTTCTAATGTATTTTGTTTTAAAAGAAAGAGTAATTTGCAAAACTTCTACTGTGTCTTAAGGGAAATAAGGAGGCACTCCATAAGACTGCCGAAGTTGTGCTCAGATTCTCAGTGCTGGCCTTGATTGTATCATCTCCACTGTTAAACTGTAGGCTGCTCCTCAGTGCACTATGCAGCCTGAGTCCACCCAGAGTGGCTGTAACCGTTTTGACATGTAATGGATAATGACTACTGAAAAATAAACCAAAGAACAGGAGTATTTCATCGTTAACCTTTGTGAACCATGTTTCATGGATAACTTTTCAGTTCTTTCTGAAGGCTGATGTGCCTCCATTTGAAAAACAATGTTGATTTTGAGTGGACTGAAGTAAACTAACCAACTACCATTATGTTTTGACTAAGGAATATACCTTTCAATAAAGTTGTTGAAATGCAGCCCTTCCCTAGGTGTTTGTTTCTTTTTTGAGTACTTTAGCAATATTATACAATAAGCTTTCTTTATATTGTTTATTAATTTTACTAAAGTAAGATGCACAGAAGCAGAAAGAAGGGGTTGGGGATTTAGCTCTGGTAGAGGGCTTGCCTAGCAAGTGCAAGGCCCTGGGTTCGGTCCTCAGCTCTGGAAAAAGAAGAAAAAAAAAAAGAAGAAGCAGAAAGAAAATTTATTTTAAGAGTGTAGCTATCAAGCTGGGCATGGTGGCACATGCCTTTAATTCCAGCACTGGGAAGGCTGAGACTGGTGGATCTCCAGAAGTTCACTGCCAGCCAAGGCTACATGGCGAGACCCTATCTCAAAAAATACAGTTCCACTATCACCTGGTTTCTTTTTCTTTCTTTTTTCTTTTTCTTCTTGGTTTTTCAAGACAGAGTTTCTCTATGTAGCCTTGGCTGTCCTGGAACTCTGTAGACAGGCTGGTCTTGAACTCACAGAGATCCACCTGCCCCTGCTTCCTGAGAGCTCGGATTAAAGGATTAAAGGCTTGTGCTACCACGCCTGTCTAATTACTTTCTAATTTAAACACACACACACACACACACACACACACACACACACACACACAATGTTTGTTAAATGTATACTAAAAAGCTGTATTTATGCATTATTATTAATCATTGTTTTTAATTTAGATACACCACTGCTATGGATATTATTCACCATAAAAATTTACCATTAGATCCCACCCACCTGAGGTTTTAAACAAACCATTTTACCTAATTAAATAATATTCAAGCACGGTGGGTACTGCTGATGCTATTATGTTAACCTGCTCGGATCAAGTGGTAATTATTATTGAAGAGAAACTTTAATTTTGAACTCCATATTTGAAAATGTTTTATTCTTTGACAGTCATACATGTAATATAATGAATTTCAGTCACTTTCACACCATTCCCATTACATTCTTTGCATCCCCTCTTCCTGGTAAAATCCCTCCTACTCCTTTCTCTGTGTGTGTGTGTGCGTGTGTGTGTGTGTGTGTGTGTGTGTGTATACACCCACGCGCATTGCTTACAAGAGCATGTCTGAGAAGAGCATGCCCTGACTCCCTTCTATGATGGACTGTGATGTGGAAGTGTAAGCAAAATAAACCCTTTCCTCCACAATTTGCCTTTGGTCATGGTGTTTATCACAGCAATAGAAACCGTAAGACACACCCCTCCTCCTTGTCACCACTGTCAACAGTCCCTTAGGGATGGGTGGGGCCTCATGAACCCTTTCCTTTTCCAAGATAAAAAGTTAATGGACCCAGCACTTAGAATTATAAAGTGGGCATTGTGAGGAAATCATATTAGCTCCCCTTTCCAAGTATCTGAACTTTGTGTATTCCCAAATATAAGATAGTGCGTCTTTGGTATTACTATAACTCACCTCATGTAAGTCCTGAACTGAATGAAGATAATAGTTAACAAATGCATAAGAAACACAAGAAGTCAAGTGATTTGTACCCAGTACATACATGTATGGTGATATTTTATTTGTACTGAGATGTGATTTTATTTGTATGTTAATAAATAAAGTTGCCTGTGGGTCAAAGCTAATAGCAAGCCATAGCAGAAGCCAGGTGGTGGTTGCACACACCTTTAATCCAGATCACATGACAGACAGATCTCTGTGTGTTCAAAGATAACAGCCAGCATGGAGACACACGGCTTTAATCTCAATACCAACAATAGAAGACCTGGAGGTCTGTGACCAGGCAGTGACGAGGTCATGTGGTTGGGTTTACAACCAATGAGAAGACAGAACAGGAAGTCAATAAAAAGACGATGGACAATAGCTGCAGCGAAGGGTAAGAAAGGCGGTTTTCAGTCTCAACTCTCAGCTACTGCTCTGACCTCTTGGGCTTTTAACTCTGTATTGGCTCTGTGTTTCTTATTTAATAAGACAGATACATCTACATACATGGTTTTAGGGGGTTACATTAAAATTCAGGAGCTTCTGACTCCAGAGCCTTTTGCTCTCAGGATTCTCATATTCTGTCCCAAAGTGAAGAATTAACTTTTGTGAAACTGTATAATCCCCATAATCCAAATCATATTCTGTGCACTACCATGATAGAATAAATTCCCTCTTTTATAATAACAAAATGGTTTTTTATCAAATGTGCCATTACAAAACAACCTAGCAAAAATGTGCCAAGTTTTATACAGCCTTAAATGTGAAACTTATAATTTTCCTAATCCAAAACCAGATGAGATTTTTTTTTCCCCTTTAGTTCAACAGACTTGGGAGCAATCAAAACTGCTGAAGGAAGATAATTCACAACCAAAGAATCACTAAATATATCAAAACTATATGAAACAAATGCCCAGCAATGAGAGGAGAAATCTTCAACTATAGTTGGAAAACTAGATATTAATCTTGGAAATCCATGGAACCACTAGAAAATTAGTGGTGATATAAAGCTGAATACTAGTAAATGACTAATTGACTAAGCACTACATCCTAAAACAGCATGTGAACCTTCTCAGGTGAGTAAGGAACATTCCTCAAGACAGACTAGACTTTGTGCTGCAGGCCACCAGAAGATGAAATAGAGATTCAGCTGTATATGATAAAGCTATACCTTGAAGGATCAAGGAATCCTTCTAGAGGAGAAGTCAAATATCAATGAATATTTGATGTTATTCAGCTTTTAATATATCAGCTGTTTCCTGCTATCAATATTCTTATGTGCTCATCTGAACTAGGTAAGACCCCTACAGAGACAATGCCTGTCTCCTGCGGACAGACAGATGTATAAATGCATAGCTTTGTTTCTTGTGCAAATGAAACTCACACCATCCCTTTCCTTCAGGCCTATGGCATTGCAGAGCTACTGACTCAGGACAAAAGGGGTTTTTGCACAACCAGGTGAAGACTGGGGCAGAATTCCTGACTTGGCTGGCCGAGGAAAGAGCAGCAAGGAAAAGATTTGCAGATTGTAGGTAGATTTGAGTCAAGAGAGGAGGAGAGGAAGGAAAGATGGCGGATGAAGAAATGGAGGACAAGGATGAGGTCGAGAGCATAAGACCTTAGTTA